TCCTCCTCCTCCTCGATGCCGTATCCACCCACAGCATACAGCTTGCCGTCGAGCACCGCCATTGCGGGACTCTGCCGCACCGAACCCATCGGCGCCACCATTTCCCACGCGTTTGTCGCGGGACAGTACCGCTCCACCGAGCTGAGGCGGTTGGGGACGCCGCCGTCGCCAGTCTCCATGCCGCCCACAGCATATAGCTTGCCGTCGAGCACCGCCACACCAGGCTGATTCCGAGCCACCGCCATCGGCGCCACAACCTCCCACCCTTTCGTAGCCAAGTCGTACCGCTCCACCAGGTTGCAAGATTCGTCTCCCTCGTCCCTGCCGCCCGCCGCGTAGAGCTTGCCATCGAGCACCGCCATGCCGCAACAGTCGCGTGCCGTCAGCATCGGCGCCACAGTCTCCCCCTCCCACTCATTCGTAGAGGGGTCGTACCGCTCCAGCGAGCTGATGAAGGATACAGGCTCGTCGTTGCTGCCGTGGCCGCCGAACACGACCAGGCGCGGCCTGTCGCGCTTCTTCAGCGTCTCCTTCCAGCCGCGGCGCCACGCGCGGCACGTCCCCTTGACGGCGTGCGCCTTGGTCGGCAGCTGGGCGAGGATGTGCGGGGCGAGGTCCGGCGAGAGGAGGACCTCGGAGAGCACCCACTCGGGCTGCTCCACGAGTGCGGCGTGCTCCTCCGCCACGCGCAAGGCGGCGGCGCTCCAGAGAGGCGCCTGTTCGTCGATGAAGGCGCACAGCTGCTCCGGCGAGAGGCCCGCGAGACGTGCGCCGATGCGGTGGGCGGCCATGGCACTGCGCAGGCTGGCACGACAAGGGCGCGGACTGGCGCGGACTGGCACCACCGGTTTTGGAGAGAGAAGGTTTTTTATTTTTCCCAAATCTAACACTTGGGGTGTTTGTGTGCTTTTGTTGTGCAGCCCCTGTGGTCCGTGAGAAGAGGAGGCAAGGAGACGGGTTGGCGGCGAGGGAGGGGCAGCCGTCGCGACAGGCGAGCACATCCCGAGCCGGGGCGTCATGGAATACAGTGGAGCTAAAAAAATTACTAAAAAGAAAACTGAATTTGGCGCGGGCGCCGAAGTGGCTGCGAAACAAGAGAGAGAGAGACGTACGTACATGAGAGGCAAGGCCTGCCTTCGTCCCCACCGCCGTGTCGTGTGGCTCGCCGTCCGGACCCGGTTCACCCGGCACCAGCTGCGTCCGACGAGGCGCTCGCACCTCGACCTCGACGAGGTGTGCGCTCGTCACACGTACCGCAGTACACTCGGCCTCCAGCACGACCTGACGAACGCAGGTGGACAGCGGGCTCTACCGTGCGTCGAGCAAGCTCCTGTGGGTGCCACCGGGCGGCAAGTCAGTTTTCGGCGGGCAGGTGATGGGTCAGGCTCTGCACGCCGCCCAGCTGACCGTCCACCGCGACTCCTGGCTGCCCATCTCGCTGCACTCGTACTTTCTGAAGCGCGGCAGTCCAACTAGCGATATAATCTACCAGTGCCGCGAGACCTCCAATCTGCGCTCCTTCGACTCGCGCTCCGTGGACGCCATCCAGAACGGCCAAATCATCTTCAAGATGCAGGCGCAGTTCGCGCGGCCCGAGGAGTCGCAGCTGAGGCACGTGGAGCGAGCGGACGGAGTCACCGGCATGCCTCGAGGTGTGGTTGCCCCCGACGAGTGCCTGGGGATGGACGATCTCCTCGGCGACCTGATGGCACGCGCCCCTGCGGCGCTGCTGCCGCTGATTGAGGAGCTCCGCGCATCGCCGATCGAGGTGCGGTATGCGGTGGGCGCTCCTCACGACCCGCTCGACCCGGACCCGCCGAGCATGCCCAGCCGCCAGCTACTGTGGGTTCGAATCCGCGAGCCAATCACGAAGGCTCCCGGCTTGGACGCGGCCTGCGCCGCGTACATCTCGGACCAGCCTCTCCTGCTCACGGCGCTGCGGCCCCATCGGATCTCCTTCCCATCGCCCAAGCTGGGCGCGCTCGCGACGCTGGACCACTCGATGTGGTTCCACGGCCCTTTCGACGCCGATGACTGGCTCCTCTACGACATGCACGCGCCCTTTGCAGGCGGCCAGGCTGGCCCCTCTGCCGGAGGGCGTGAACAGGGGGCCTCTTCAGGGCGCTGCTTTTTGAATAGGGTCCGGCAGGGCCCTCTGCTTTGGCCACCTCTACCGCCCAGACACAGGCGAGACCTCCCCGCATCGCCCGCGCTCCACCGCCCCTCTCGCCGTCTCGTCACCGCATCGGCGTGCAACAGGACAGCTCGTCGCCTCGTGCGCCCAGCAGGGCGTGCTGCGCCTTGCCAAGCCGACGCTGAAAAACAAGGCGGCGCTCTTCGCGATGAGGGGGGCGGGGCTGCTCGACCGCTTGCGCGCGGCGGCCCTCGGCTGGACGTCGGGCGGTGAGCGAGGGGCGGGGGGCCACGGATAGCAGTGCTTCACATTAAATGCACATACTGGACAAAACCAAAAAGTGTCAAATCCGCTATCCGCAATCCGGGGAAAAAATCAGGGGCTGGACCCCACCCGCGCGTGTTATGGCCCTGCGACCGCGCACCCCCTAGGGCTCGCAGGGCTAGGGCTCTCTGTAGCCCGTAACCCGATCCCAATCGTCTGGCTAACTGGGTGCGCTTCTTAGCTACCCGGTCCTGGGCGTGCGGCGCGTGCGGCTGCCGACTCGCGACTCTGCACTGAGCACTCCAAGAGTGCTCCAAAGTGCTGGCGCCACAACTCGCTCCGTCCCACGTCCGGCATCGCCCGTTCGCCCCCCCAGGCCCAGCCCAGCTCAGTTCTAATTGGATTGGCGGAGCACTTTTCACTTTTGGAGAGTGATGAGTATTATGCGGCTGGATCTAGTTTGTTTTTGTGTGCGGCTATACGGAGCTCGGAGGAGTGCGGTCCTCAGCTCGGGTCCCAGGCGGGGGTTAGGGCCAAGATACGGCTCACGGGGGAAGCACGTGGGGGCGAGCCGCAAGGGCCACCCAGGCAGGCGCCAGGGAGTGCCGCGCAGCCTGCCAGCCGCCAGCCGCCCTAGGCCCAAGGAGCTCTCGCCAAGGAGCTCTCGAGGTCTCGAGGCGCGTGTCAAAAATCGATGGCTGTTTCCTTGTCTTGCTTTGTGTGTGCAGTCCAGAGCCATGTCCTACCATCGCATTGCCTCGGCGCTGCGGCCGCCGGCGCTGCGGCTGGCTGTCTCGCAGCCGCGGTACATGACCGGCCTCTCGGCGCTCGCACGAGCTGCCTGCCGCCAGAAACAGGCACCGCCGGTGCCGGTGCTCGACAGCGATTGCTCGAGCTCGTGGCAAGATATGACTCCTATCGGCACCGGCGAGACCATGGTCGTCCTCTCCTTCCGCGCGGCGGCCGGGATGGGCGCGGCGTTTGAGCGGGTTGTGCAGCAGCTGTCGCTCGAGCTTGACAGCGTCGAGGCAGGCGTCTCTGATGTGCGGGTGATGGCTGGGGCGGGCGGCGAGGCCACCTTTGTGGTGACCCTGCTGTCGCGCGCCGAGGCGCAGCGCTTCGAGCGCACGATCCGTCCCTCCATCCAGACGGCGCTCGCTGAAGTGTCGGAGGGCGGGGAGCCCTGCTTCAGCAGCGGCGGTATGCTGGTGCCGCACGCCCACACGCTCGGCTCGCTGCTCCAGTCGCTGACGCGGCACCTCTCGGGCACGAGCCGGACCGCCGAGCACGACGTGCGCGCCGTGGCCGCGGAGCTTCGGCGCTGGTACCCGCGGAAGGAAGAGTACGGCGGCTTCCTCTCGGTGGACGAGGACGACCCTGGCCGCTACACAAGGAATGTGGTGCACTCGACGCCAGCGATGGAGGTGCTGATGATGTGCTGGCCGCCCGGGTCGCAGAGCACCATCCACTGCCACGACGAGTCGTCCTGCTGGGTCACCGCCGTGGAGGGCGAGGTGCACGAAGTGCAGTTCGACCTGCCGCTGCTCGACCGAAAGTTTGAGCGAGCCCGGGCCCGGCTGGAGGGGGCCCCGGCCGACCCGGCGGGCCACATTCGCGGCAGGTGCGGCCCGCTGCGGCGGATCCGAGTGTCTCCGCTGGGCGGCCCGGGCGATGGGCCGGAGCTCGGCTGCAAGCAGACCTACGCCAACAATGAGATTGGGATCCACCGCATCGAGAACCGCTCGCTGGAGCCGGCCGTCACGATGCACGTGTACGCGCCGCGCCTCCGCAAGATGAAGATATTCCGCGACAGTGGCGAGGTGTCCGAGGTGACGGTGACGAGCGACGACTCCACCACCGTCGAGGATGTAGGCTCGTGGCAGGCGGAGCTGCTGGACGTCGCCGGATGGAACGGCGCATAAGAAACCTTTGGCCTCTCGCGCGAACCGCGGTGCCGGAGGGTTGGCTATGCCGGCGAGGCCGAGTCGTACAGTGGCTGCTACGTGTCTCTCATTTGTGAGAGCAGATTGTTCTCTAGACCACTCCCTTCTTCTCTCTTCCCTCCATAATCTCTCTCTCCCGCGCCGGCGCGGGGGTCGTCACAGCAGATCTCTCGTGGGTTTTTATCTTCCTTTCTGCGAGTGGTCTAATGTGTTGGTTGTCTGTGGACTGTGCCTGGGGGGTTGAGATTGTGTTTTTGAGGTTTGTGATCTCCAGCGAATTCGATTTTCACATAACGGACAAAATTGGTAGCGACTTGTTTGGTACATGCATGTAATGCTAGAAAACACTCTAAAATACAACTTTTAGCTGGAGGAGGGAAAGGAAGAATTCTACGAATACAAGCCCCTCTCACAGCAGACTGGGAAAGGAAGAAAGGTGCTGATTTTTCTTGGTTTCTTCTTCGGCGCGCTGCTTTAGGTTTAGGACGGCTTTGGACGCAGTGCCGGAAGTTTGCGACGGAGGGCCGGAGCTGTGGACTCAGAGCATGTGCCAAAAGAAAGAAAGAAAACAGACAAGCCAAGGGAGGGATGGGAGGACGGCACGCCGCCACCACACAGGGATTTTAAGGAGAGGTGTGTGATGCGCTAGCCGTCAGAGCATGTGCCTGCAGGACGAAGGAGCGCACAGGGTTTTTTCTCCGGGGGACGGCACCTTCTCGACCGCGATGTCGGAAGAGCTGCAGGCTGCGATGCAGCTGCACGCCTCGCCGCTGCCGATCGTCCGTCAGCAGTTCCCGGAGCCCCCGAAGCACGGCCGAGGCGAGGGTTTGGAGGCCATCCGGCCGCCCTCGGGTGGGAGGTCGCGGCTCGTGCCAGGCGTTCCGGGAGGCGGCGTTCCGGGAGGGGGCACGCACCTGCCGACCGGCGACCAGCCGGGCGACCCGTGGGCCACGCTGGTGGTTGTGCTCGCGGACGGGCTCATGGGGGAGAGGCCGCCGCCGCGCGCAGCATCGAGCCAACCCTCCATACCCGCGGGCCGAGGACGGCTCCCCCCGCCCGTCGCCGCCGGGATCGCATCCGCGGTCGAGCTCTCCGGCGCGGTGGCGCGCTCGCTCGTCGTCTGCGGCGGAGGCGGCGGCGCCAGCGGCGGCCTGATCGCCGCCGCGATGATGAGCGAGGTGGCGAGGGTCACTCCAGGCGGGATAGACGCCTTTGGCCCGGGGAGGAGGATCGAGGCGCTGCTCAAGGAGACCAGTGCCGAGTTTGGCAACTTGTGGGTGGGTGCCCCCTCCCGGGCCGCAGGTTCTGCCCTCCCGCCCTCCGACGACCTCCTTCTCGCAGGAGGCGGCGCTCTACTCGAAGGCGCTCGCGAAGCGGCAGCGCGCTCTCATCCGCTTCGGCGAAGTGGCCGTCATCACCTCGCCGCAGCTCGCGCCTCACACGGTCCGCGTGTTCGAGTGCGCCCTTTGATTGACCAGCGGGGCGCGCTCCACAGGGGGGGTTGACCGCTCCAGACTGGTCCCTCGGTAGGCACGTCTTCACCGACTGGCGCGTCCTCGTTTCCGGCGGCCAGGTTTGCCGGCCCGGGAGGCCCGGGGGAGCGCGGGGCGCCCTCTGAGCCGGCCGCCCTCGCCCGCTCCAGGGTCGCGGTGGGAGAGATCTCCCGCTGCCCGTCCGCGCCATCCCTGTCGACGTGTCTGCCGACGCGGCCAACGAGGCGGCGCTCGTGGCGCGCGCGGAGCGGCTCGCGGAGTCCGACGCCGAGGAGGACTGGTGGGCGCGGGGGCTGCGCAGATACCGGCTCCACCCAGCGTGGCCGGCCTCGGGGGCGGCGACTGAGTCTGAGAGAGAGTGAGAGCGCGACTGCGCGTCGAGATGTTCCCTTTTCGGAGGCGGCGCCTGCGCGGCGCGGCGCGGTGCCCCTGCCTCCCAGTCGGTGCCGCAGTCGGTGAGAGGAGGGCGCATCTTCCTTCTTTTCGCGCCGCGGGGCCGAAACTGCCCCGATTTTTCGCGTACGTGCCTGAGATTTTGCGATTCGCGCGCGCCGCTGCACCGCCCTGCGCGGGGGGGGCGCAGGCTGTTTTCGATCTCGTTAGACGTTAGATTGTCGTTAGACGTTACGCGCCCGCCATTTCAAACCTCTCCTGCATACCTCGTCTCTGCGACAGCTATATGTCCATCCCTGAACTCTGCGCAACGCGCTTCATCTGCTTTTTCATGAGCTTGGATGGTGTGCGAGGCCGCCGCTTGGCTATCATCCCGCTGCCCTTCAGCCGCGGCAGCGCCTTACGCACGGCCAGGTCGATATCGCTCTTGCCCACCTTGCGCTTCGAAGTGCCCTTCTTCCTCAGAGTGGGCTCGAGCGATGGGTTTGCCGGCCCCTCCACCTCCATTGACGGGCTGGCCGTCGACGCCGAAGGCCCGCCCACTGCCAGCCCCGCCGCCGCGAGCTTGGCCTCGGCTTTTTGGCGCCTCGCCGCGCGCTTCAAATCGCGCTCCCGCTCGAGCGCCAGCTCCGCCTCCCTCTGGGTCTCGCGCCGGTGCCGGTCTTTGGGCTTTTTGCCCATCTGTGCACGGGTCGACTGCAGGACGACGAAGCCCGTTCGGTTTTCTTTTCCTGGCGCCTTTTGGGAGAAACTTCTTTTCCGGCTCTAGATTTTAGCAAAAAAATCTACCAGGAGAGAGAGATCTGACTTGTGTTGCGGCTTGCTTGGGCTGTATCCAATGTGATTTCTTGTTGGGGAAAAAATCTCTCTCCTAGTTTCAAGAAAACTCCGTGGGGTGGTGCGTGGAAATCATCGATCGATTTTTCGTTCGTTCGGATCGGGCTCTGAGCCGAGTGAGTCTTGTGTTGTCGAGTCTGAGCTCTGAGGCTGGTTTGGGGCCAAGGAGCAGTGTGTGGTCCAAGTGCAAGATCAGCAATCGGCAAACAAAATACCGGGTACCGCGTACGTACCGACCGGTTGAAAAGCGACGTGTCACGTGATGACACGAAGTTGTGAAATCGAGGAGGCTGAAAGTCCAATAAAGTCACAAATTTGTAGCGCGACGCAAAGTTCGCAGTTCGCTGTTCGGTATCCCGGGCCGCGCTAACTAAAAAGCGAAACAGTCGAGCCAGTGTGTGGGGTTTCTTTCTCGAGGGGAGCAGCAGTATTACGAAGATAAAACCGCGGGGTTTCTTTCTCGAGGGGGAGCAGCAGTATTACGAAAATAAATCGCCGCGCAGCCTGCGCCGGCGGCTGGCGGGCCCCGGTGCGGCCCAGCTCTGGCAGCGTCGGCGGTACACCTCCGAGGGCCGGACCGCACACGTCCCGGACATGTCCAGGACACGTCCGGGCCGCCTGCCCGCGGAGCAAGGCGGTCGCGGGGCGGGGTGGGGCGCGCAGCAGCGAGCGCCTCCGCACGCCCACCACGCGCAAGGCGAGACGCGCCGCGTGGAGGCGCAGCCTCGTCAAGAGCCTCGTCAAGCGGCGGCCTCCGCGGCGGAGAGCGCGGGCGGCTTCATGTCGGCGCGGGATCGGCGCCAAATCGACCTGATGCGCAAGGGCGGCAAGGGCGGCGGAGGGGGCGGAGGCGGCGGAGGCGGAGGAGGCGGCGGAGGCGGCGGTGGCCACTACGGCGGTGGAGGGCGGGGGGGCGGCGGGCCCCCGGGGCTGCACGCCGCCCTGAATGGCCCTCCCGACGGCGGTGGCGGCACCTCGGGCGGTGGCGGCACCTCGGGGGGGGCGCGGGCCGCGGGGCTGCGGCGGCCGTTTGCCCGCCCGCGGGGCGTTGGAGGAGGCGGCGGGAGCGGCGGAGGCGGCGGAGGCGGCGGAGGCGGCGGAGGCGGCGGAGGCGGCGGAGGCGGCGGAGGCGGTGGAGGCGGTGGAGGCGGTGGAGGCGGTGGAGGCATCAGCGGCGGCGGCGGCGGCAGCGGCGGCGGCGGCGGCGGCGAGGGCGAAGTCTCGCCCGAGGTGGTTGCCCTGATGGAGCACCCGGCCATGCGCGGCGTCGAGGCGCGACTCGCCGAGGTGATCCTCAACGAAGTGGTGGACGCCGGGCGTGACGTGGGAGGAGATCGCGGGGCTGAGCTACGCGAAGCAGTCCGTGCGCGAGATCACGGTCTGGCCGCTCCTCCGCCCGGACATCTTCACCGGGCAGCGGAGGCCGCCTCGCGGGCTGCTGCTCTTCGGCCCGCCCGGCACCGGCAAGACGCTCATCGCAAAGGCGATCGCCGCCGAGGACAACGCCACCTTCTTCTCCATCTCCGCCTCGTCTCTCATGTCCAAGTGGATGGGCGACTCCGAGCGGCTCGTCCGCGCACTCTTTGGCGTGGCGCGCGCGCGCAAGCCGTCCGTCATCTTCATCGACGAGGTGGACTCGGTGCTCGGCCAGCGGCGCGAGGGCGAGCACGACTCGACCATCCGGCCTTTTAATTAACAGCGAATTAACAGCTGGTTAGTAGTTCATTAGGCGAGCACGACTCGACCATCCGAGTCAGGAATGAGATTCTGGTCCAGATGGACGGCGTCGCGGGCGCCGACGCCAACGAGAGCCTCCTCTTCGTCGGCGCAACCAACCGGCCGCAGCAGGTTAGCACGTAGCACTAGCAGAAGCTGCAGCTCCGCGGTACAGACCCGACCTGTGAGCTATGGTCGTCGTTCTGCGTTCACATCCACCGCACCTTGGACTCACCCCTCACCCTTCGCCCTCGCCCTTCACCCCAACCCTCACCCTCACCCTCGCCCCCTCCGCCCTAGCTCGATGACGCGGCCCGCCGCCGCCTCTCCAAGCGGCTGCTCATCCCGCTGCCAGACGCGGCCGGGCGACGCGAGATGCTCACGCGCGGCCTCGCGGACCTGGTGCACGCGATCGGCGAGGCCGACATCGGCTCGCTCCTGCAGGCGACCGACGGCTACTCGGGCTCCGACATGGCGGCGCTGTGCCGTGAAGCAGCGATGGGGCCATGCCGCGATCCGGGCTTCGAGGCGGCGCTGCTCCGCGGGGTGCACTCCAGCGAGATGCGCCCGATCCGCCTCTCGGACTTCGAGGACGCTCTCGGCGCGATCCGCGCGAGCGTCGGGCCGGGCGAGCTCGCCGCCTTCGAGGAGTGGAATCGGAACTTCGGCTCCTTCCAGAGCCAGGCGGCCAAGCGGCAGGCGATGGGGGGCGGCGGCAACACTTGAGGCCACGAGCCACGAAGGGGAGCACGACCGTGGCGGGGAGTTCGTCGTGCGGGCTCGCGCGAGTTCACGCGCACGGTGGCCGCACTGGCCGAGCGGCCGAGGACCCGTGGGAGGTGTGGTGTGCGCACGGGGTCTCGGGCCAGTGGAGACGCACTCCCACTCGCAGCCGAGACGGCACACCGGGCGCGCGTTGAGCAGTCACATTTCATGAGAAAAATGTGTGGCGAGAGCAGGGCCAGGGCGAGGATTCGACTTTCGAGCCACCAAGCACGACGAAGCAATAGCATGATCTCTCTCGATGACATGATCTCGATGGCTAGTTCTCCGGGTCTGGGGTCTCGCCCCTCCCGCCACGCCCGCGTCGCGCCGGATCGAGGGCTCAAGGCGGCGCAGCGCAGGCGCGCCTGAGCCACACGAGCCGCCGACAGCCCCCCCCCCCCCCCCCCTCCCCCTCCGATACTGTAAGTGTGTGTGTCTCAGTCTGTTACAGTCTGCCTTTGTCATCGTACTCTACGAACGCGCTCCGTATGTCGAAGTAAAAAAACCGCGATAAGTTTTGTGAACGAACGTGTTTCGAGGATGGCACATTCTTCCGGGGCTTGCTGTGGCTCACAGTGTTTCGAGGTCAGAGAGAAGTGCATCACATCGGGGCATGCACAGATCGCATGCTATGGTCGAGTCTGTCCGGCCCGGTCATGCTCTAGTTTAGACAGAGACGGATGCTGAAGGGACCGCAGAAATTTCAGCGTCGACCGTCGTGCTCGAGCCGTGAGCGGCCGATGCCTCAACAAGTGAGTCGTCTTGCTCCTCTTCGCGCGCGTCGCTGGAGCCGCGGCGCTGCCGGAGCCGAGCCACCGCTATGCGGCGGAGAAGGAGCTGCCACTGTCGCTCGAGCGGCCCCGCGTCGCACGGCACGGCTCCCATGCCGCGCAGCACTTGGCGCAAGCTCACCTTGCGGTGCTCCTCCGACGAGTAGAGCGGCACCGCCACCGTGTCGTAGAGCTTGTACGGCGACCGCTGCAGCACCTGCGGCGTCTGCTGGAAAAAGTTGCGGAACGGAACGCCGCCGCAGATGGGGTCCTGCTCGTGGACCATGGCGATGGTGATGCGTCGGTCCATCGCCGCTTGCACGAGGCGCGCGACGGCGCCGCCGGCGTCCAGGAAGGTCTTATTGTTCAGGTAGAGCAGGAACACTACGTGCCCGGAGAGCGGGGCCGCGTTAACTCCCTCGAGCGCCTCCTCCGCATCGCGGATCGCGACATCCTCGGCGCTGGCGGTAGAGCCGCGCCCCTCCCCCACCGCATTCTTGAGCTCCCTTGCAATGCCGACGGCGCCCTCGTTGCCGCGGCACACGAGGATGGTGACGGGGCCGCTGAAGGCACAGGGCCCCGGTTGGCGAGGGACCATTACTCCTGCAGCAAGCTCGGCCGGGCGGCTCGCGTAGAAAGGAGAGTGCCGCAGCATGCGCAGCGCAACAGCATTGAGCGACTCGAGCTGAAAGGCGTTCACCCGCACCCACACGATCGGATTCACCCCGAAGATGCGCGCGAGCATCTGATCTGGCCCGCAGTAGGAAGGATAGGCCGCGGGGGCGACGTCGACGCAGTTCGCACGGCACTCGTCCATCAACACCGCGAGCGAGGCGCCGCCCTTTGTGGTGTCGGCCTCGTACACAGGGATGAAGGGCCGA